ATCAACTAATTTCCGAATGACTTCCAAAAAATAATAAATTGCAGACCACAAAAACGATATAAAGCATGCAGATTCTCTTAAATTAATAATGAAGTTTTAAAATTAACTTGATTTCTGGCCATATTGTGCATCTTGTGAATTGTAAGCGGATTCCGCAACAAGCCAAAATCAAATTTTTGCCGAACCCAATACATTACTAAGTTTTTGCTGTTTTGGATTTTACAAACAGATAGCTAAAAAACTGTACCGCTCAAAATTGCTCCAAAAGAGGCGAATGTGCCAAATCCGCAACAGTGTTTGCGGAATCCGCATTTTCTTGCGGTTTCCAGTAACATAGGTAGTAGCGTTTTTAATTATAATCTTTTTTGCCAGATGATCAGCAGCAATTTCAATTTCTGTCAAACACTCAATTTCGATCTAATTTTCTGTCAAACATCCAACTTTGATATCAATTCCTGTCAAACACTCAACTTCGATCTCAGTTTTTGTCAACTTACACCCAAATTCGATCTCAATTATTGCCAAACTGAACAAATTGAGCTAAGCTAATTCGCAGTTTATTTCAATTCTTTTCAAGGAAAAAAAATTGTTTGAAATTAGCCTCTTTTCAAATTGCGAAACCAGAACAGACCAGAACTTGGTTTGATAATGCAACATTTTCAAGAACATATTAGTGTTTATGAAATTAACATTTGATTCAGCTGTAGTTGTTCAAATTTTGATAAATTTTATCCGCAAGAAAAATGACTGTATCAGCAATAATTTATCTGAATTCATTCTGAGATGTTATCACATCTACACATCCATTGTTTCGTACTCCCTAAACAGTACTGACGGACCGGCATAAATTCCAGACAAAAAAACTGGATACAGCATACTCAATTCATATCCAAAAACTCCCAAAAACTGAAGATACCCAGTTTCATCATCCCGTACACCGAACGACTCAAATCATCCCAAAAAGTAAAAATGCTTAGTTTATGCTCGCATACTGCAATGTTAGAGATTGTTTTGTATTTTAGCCGGCAACGAAGAGAAGATTGGTGACTAAAGAAGAGGTGGACAATCTTTTCCAACACCACCGTGGCCCATGCGGCCTATCATTGCCAGTGTTACAAACAGGTTGTTCTGTCGGATGACTCGGCGACTGGAGACATTTAAGAGTAAACGAGCGGCTTCGGCTGTACTAGAGGGCGAGGAGGGCCCATGAGATGGCCGGCTCAAGGCCGAGGCTGAGGAACCGCCTCCGCCGCCTCGCTTCCAACTGTTGGCCGCTCAACTTGAAGGTTCCAACTCAGAATCTAAAACTATTGAACTAAATTGTTTTATGCCTAGATTTAGGCCTGCTTATTTCAGTCAGAAGTCGGACAGAAACAAAAATTTAGTGACAGATGAAACATTCAGCCAGTGAACAATCCAAACAACTAAATTACCACAAAAAATCATCAAGGTCTTTCTCGAATCTACCTAATTTCGATGAACAAGTTTGTATAATCGGGAACTTTTCTTTTGAGCCTAAATCCAAAAAAGAGTGCCTTCAAAATAATACCGACAAGATAATGCTGACAATACTACAACACCGATCAAGTCACTGCCTGCAATACTACACAATATCATCAAAGTCTTTCTCGAATCTGTCTAATTTTGGTTTGATCAACAAATTCAATAATGAACTTTTTATTTTAGCCTAAGTCCAGTGAGCATCTCTAGAGTGAACACCTTCAAATAATGCCTTTAATAATGCCTTACATTCAAAAATGCTTCACATAGAGAATTTTCAGCGCCTTTAAAAATCGTCGTCACTTTCAAAATGCCTTCAAAACTCATGATCTTCAAATTGATTCAACATTGTAATTATCAAGGCGATTAACTTTTTCAGCTTTTATCTGTTCTATTTTTTTTACTGCCGCTCTTTTGTATCTTTCAGTGATTAAAATTGTTTCTTGTCATTTCTGGTCATTATGGTCATTTAGAAATAGCATTGGTAGTTTTTTGGTAGTTTTTTTGGTAGTTTTTTTGGTAGTTTTTTGGTAGTTTTTTTTGTACTACCAATTAAAAAAGTGTAAATAAAAATCTCAAACTTATTGTTTCCGAATTGAGTAAAAGTTCATCCACTGCTTTAACTGTTACTGATAATCTTTTTTATCATCAAATCCACGCGTGTAGTTAATTATGCGCCCAAATGTCTAATTCATTTGATGTTTCTAACTAATTATAAGATATTTTTTCTCAGACAAAACAAGCTGCCAATGACCCAGGTCCTCCCATCTTGAAATCTTGATCGATCAACTTGTGCTGGTTTTCTCTTTTCTCAAAAATTATGGAAATTAGTATCTTCATTTTTATTTCCTCACTTTATCTATTCATTTTCACCTAATTTTTTGTTCGGAAGTTGATTCTCAAATTACCGGTCCAATATCAGAATTTTCGGATGTTTCATTTAATTGCTTCAATGATAAGAACCCCAAATATACAATTTATTTTCTTTTGCACTGTTATTCAGATCACATGATAGGCCTCAATGAGCCTGAGCACTCCGAATAATAAAAACGCTATAACTTTAAAATTTATAGTCATAAACAAATTTGCTGCTTTTTAAGTGCTTTGCCGATTTATGTTCAGATAGAATATCACTGGAACCAGAGAACGGGATAATATTGCATGTTTCAATTGTAGACGACGAGACGAATTGCCTACCTGTCATTCTGAATACTGCAGGTCACTGCCCAGGTTCAGTTATGATCTCAGTTGTTTTCACGGCAACTTAGCCAAGATGGCAATTTAGTCATATGAAGCGAAGAGTTCTCCTTCTGGATAATTTACAAGAACCTGTTGTTCACAACTTTGATAAAATTTATATTGATACAACCTTTTGCAAATCAGATGCTAGTTTTATACCTTCTAGGGAGAGCTGTCTCTTAGCCATTTTTCAAGCCGTGTTGTAATAGCTCTCCTCACTTCAAAATAACGTGGTCCACAGCTATCATTTTTTGACTAAAAAGCTTGCATCCAGATTCAACACTTAAGTTCATGTTTTTTTTATTTCAGTATCAAGTCAACCAATGTGTTTTGTTGATTCAAAATTAGCTCATATTAGATGAAGAGAGTATCAAAAACCATTACGGTAAGCCGTCGTCTGCGTGCGCGAACTTAAAATTGCCCGGCAACCGATTCGACAACCCAAAGAGCCTACGTTTATTCCAACGGCAACATTTTTAATTAAAAATGAGTTGATGCTTGAGAGATTGGTTAAAGTTGGAGAAAATCATTCTGAGAAAACTATTCAAAAAAATTGGTTTCCTTTCACGCCTGTTTTAAATTCAGAACCTAAACACATCAAACGAAGTGAGTACGCAAAATTTAAATTCAATAAGAGAGTTAAACGCGAAGTCTATTATCGGAAGATTATCTCAAAAAACAAACCAGAATGCGAAAAACAGCAGTATGTACCGAAATACCTCCATCCAGTCAAACAACTGAGGCGTGCGGCTGATGGTGAAGATATTGATGCCGGCGAAACAGTAATTAGTAGAAACGAAACAACTGAGAAGATAGAAGAGAATGGAATCTCAAAAATTTATCAAATTGCCCAACAATATTTAAAAACAAACATATTTTTTACTGTAACTTTTTTTTCATCGAATTGCTCAACCATATTTATATACAATAATTGCATTCTTTCGATTGTTTTTTTTTGCTTTTCGCTTGTTTAAATGTTCCTTTTCAGATTAAAAAAAAGAGCATAAATCAATCCAGTCGATCAGTTTTCAAAAATTACAATTGAGCCGTCCTTTCATCCCGAAACAGTCTCATCTTAATTACTGGTGATGGTTTCTGAGCCAACTAATGATTTCTGAACCAAAATTTGAACCATCTGATCTCAAATACTGATGATAATTTTGGTGCCAAATACTGATGACGATTTCTGAACCACATAATGCCTTCGGCGATTGTGTTGTCAAGGATCCAAAAAAATTCAAACATATTTAGTTGTCCAATTTTTTAAGATTTAATCGTGGATTTCGCTGTCATCCTGCATTGTTATAGATTTAGAAAAAAATATTTAATGTTAGTAAACAAGTTCAGTAAAAAACAAAATTGTGAAATCCGCTGACATTTGCGGATTCCGCTTACAAAGTTTGCGGCTTCCCTTTACATTTGCGTATTCCGCGTACATTTTCCGGAATCCATTTACAGTTGCTGAATCCAGAATAACTAGCTGTATTTGCCTGTTGGGGAATTTGCGGAATCCAATTACATTTTGGAACATTTTTTAAGTTTTGTATCTGGAATCCAGAACATAGAGACAGAAAAATGTGCGCCTATTCGGTGCACAGTTTGGCCTGGTAATGTGAGACGCTTACCTTTGCAAACACACGCAGTAAATTCAAAATATAGCTTCGTAAACAACAAAAAACGAACTATTCAAACAATGGTGGACACACCTTTCCTCAGATATTCGACCACCTCGCCAACCAAAGGTTCCCTCTTTTGATTTTATTTTATGACATCTAGTTTCAGCCGGACAACTTCTCATTTTTTCTAAAGGCGTCTTCGGCGCCAATATATACTAATTATAAAAGGCAGTGCGCGTCAAAAAACTCAAAAACTCAGCGGCGCAAAAAACTGTATTTATGGTCTTTATAATTCTGTGGGAGCGCTAGGAAAATCATTTTGATCGACCCATAAAAATGTTGAAATTTTATTTTGAAAAGTTCAAATTTACCCCCAACCCTCCCTCGAGAAAATCTTAGATCGGTCGATGCTTTGCACTATTAAAATACAAAACCAAAAAGACATCCGGTAGCTTTCCTTGAAGTACGTAAATTTGCACAAAAAATACTACGTCATAGTTAAGTCTTTGCTCAATATCTCTAGTGGTGGGGCTAAAACATCACTGGCCTCAACAAGACTCCGTTTAACATTTGCTTATGATACTTGAAAAAAAACAATGAATTTCATTTTGAATGAAAATTTCAACGTAGATAATTAATTGAACAAATATAGCTCTTCTTGAAGTTCTTCTGGTGGTAAAAATCGAACTCCAAGCCACCTAGGCTAATACATCTATAGCTATACTAAGAAAAGCTCAAGCTGAAAACTGCCTTAATTTATTTCATTCGTTTTAATAAAGCATCATAATTAACTAGCATAGTAATTTTTTCATCTGTTTCGAGACCATTTTAAGGTTGTTATCATAGTATCACTTTCGATTAGCGATACTTCTGACTTTCTTTCCCGCTTTGATCCCTCCGATGGCGACTAGAACTGCCGCCCCGCCCACAGCCGCAACAGGGAGGGCAACAGGCGAGACAACAGTAACCACGCCCACCAGAATGCCGCCTCTGATTGTTCGTCTAGCGACTGTAGGCGGCACAACACGGCAATAGATTTCAATTTTTAATCGCTCTAACTTCAATCGCATATTATTCATGGTCTTGTGTTTGAAAGTATTTGTTAGTTTTTTGCAAACTCGACAAATATTCTATTCATGAAAAGATTTTATAAAACGAAATCGTTGCTGCCATGCCTGGTAATGTTTTCTCAAACATCCATTAGTGCACAAGTTCATAAAATATGGATTCGTTAAAAGCACTTACCACAAAAAAAACATTAGAAAAAATTCGTCAAAATCTTTGTCTATCTTACCCTTTAAATTTTTTCACAACAATAATGTCAAACTCCTTACTGGGATATTTTCCAATACTTATTAAATCTATTGCCTTTATGTTTCCTCAGGAAGTTATTGCGACATCCAAAAACCGACAGCCGATTCGAGTGTGAGCCGAGCAGATCAAAGTACTTGCCATAGCGGCGACACCCACACGAGTAGAAGAATTCCGTCTTGCAGTACGTGCAAGTCATGTGATCGCATCCGTCTGACTTCTGGTACCACCTTTTCACAGAGCGCATAATGGTCATTACTACGTATCAAATATTCAATTTCCATTTGGCAGCTTTGGCATAAGTTTAAAAATCAAGAAAAAACCAATTGCAAAATTATCCTGATATCAGACTATTCATTTGAGTTCTAGCAAATTTTGGCATATATGGCAATCAGAAGCTGATTTCAAACATTGAACCAGTAGAAAAATTTTGGTTGTTAATCAAAGTTCACGGAATAACTCTTTTGGAATGAGTTAAGCTTTGCGGTAATTCTATAACTTAGTGATCGAAATCAGAAACATTATCCGCTCTATGCACCTTTTGCAGCCAGGGCATTTGGTTGCCATTCGACCAGCTTTTTTACCCTTTGCCTTTGCCCATATAAGCATGCTTTTCTCGCCTTTAACATACTGTTTGCATGAAACACCCTTGTGCCAAGGCGATTTGCATCTAGCGCATGTTTCCAACTCGCAAAAATGACATAATTTTCGGTTTCGCAAGCTTTCGTTTACGCTATCAGGCTTTGTGACTGATTTTACAGCGTCCAGAAATGTTCCACAGTTGGGACACAGATATTGACCAGGTTTCAAAGAGGCCTCGTGTAACTTTTTGTAGAACAGTTTCAACTCGTCTTTGAAAGTCGAATATTTCAACCGCAGAATTATTTCTGTCGTTGTCATGAATTTTTCGCAATTCGGACACTCAAAATTGCGCTTATCCGAGCTTGAATTGACTCTCGTTGCTACATAATTTGAAATGCACTCGTTGCAAATGCTGTGTTTACAACAACTTCGCAGAGTTAAGGCTTTAAACTTGAGACATATCTCACATTCTTGGCCGACCCAAGATTCCAACTGGAAGTCTTCGTTGACAGATATTTCCTCTCTAGCTTTCACTATATGTTTGAATCGCATTTGCTGCAAATCATCCGCTGAATCGGAATCGTCCGAATTGAATGAATCTTCGAAATCTTGTCTTCGATGTGCTTCTGATTGTTGCCGAATCAAAAGCCTTCTGAGCGTTCTCGTGTCCGTTTGCATCATTACGTAATATGTGCTATCGGTGTAACTTTCAACATTCGAAATGACAGAAGGATGTTCCTTCGAAAGCTCTCGAAGATAAAAATTCTAGAACAAAAATCATGTTTTACAAACGTCCGAAGTTTTATAAGAAAAAATTACGACCAGAAAAGATTGGTCGATAAATTGTAAAAGCTTTCGATAAATTGTAAACCCGTATTTCTATGGGTCGGCAAACTTTGGCGGTAGTTCAGCAGAATTTCAAGCATAAGAGCCATAGTTGAGTTGAATCGTTTCGGATGCTTTCAAAAAACTTGTTTTGGTCTGTTATTTTTAGTTATAGCCAACAGCGAGTAGGAAAGTAATTAACGAACACATAAAACATAAAAAGCCGAAAAAGTTCAATTTTCTAATAAAGAAATCTTTCAACTTCCGAAAAAAAAAGAAAATTAGAGAAAGCTAGGTCATAAATTTATTTTTTACTTCCGTTGGAAATTTTGAACATTCAAAACAAAGAAAAAACTAAAATAAAACGCGCTTCAGTTAGCAAAGTCAGCTAAATTTTAAATTAAATAATGTATTACAACAAAAATTGATGCAAAGAGATAAAAACAGATTTTCGCACATCTGCTCTGCAACATGAAGATAGCTTGCATTTTGTGAAAAAACATCACAAAGTCCGTAATGATTTTCTAAAAGTTAAAAATTTACAACTCAAAGCGTATTTTTCCCATTTTATACAATTTTCAGATACTTGTACTGTACTCCCACCACAAAAGAAAAAAAAAGAAAAAAATCAAAAACTTCAAGTTTTTCTAGGAGGGTCGGAAAAGTTGATTTCAAGCATTATACAGAAGCAAAGCAAATCTTTGCACCTTTCGCGAAACAAATCATAAATAGCATAATAAACTAACCGACACAACTAGGGATGAAAGCTCATAAAATCCGACGTTTTTGAAAGTGAAAACATCGAAAACAATGATTTACCTACGTTTTTTTTTACCATTGTCTTGATTGCATTGTCTCAAAATTTTTCCCACCAACAAAAATACAAAGCGGCAACAAAGCCGACATTTCTCGAGCTGACAAACGTTGCGCCGAATGAGTGTTTTAATTAAAAAAACTTTGTCGTAAGCGTTTTAAAGTTGTTTTAATTGAAACAACTTTGGTACACTTACAACAAAAATGAAACAGTTTTCGAATAGAACAGGAAATTAAATCCAAATAAGCTCAAAACGTGTCTGTTTGTTGACTAAAGTACAGATGGATATGATCAGCAATTTCGGTCATCCTGTGAACAAAGTTGTTCTTGGAGAAAAAGTCAAGTACTCGGTTTCAAAACCCTGCTTAAGGCAAAGGGAAGGAAAAATTCGATGAACCGATAACAGAGGTTTAGCAATATACCAAACATATGAGTCATACCGGAAAAGAACCTTTTCTAGGGATTCAAAAAATGTTAGTGTGGTCTGTTTTAACATGCCACACAATTCGGCTTATTTAACTCATGTTTTGTCCAATTAATTTTTTGTCTATTTTTTTTTCAAATTGAGATACCTCTGGGTACGTATTTTTTCTAAAGCTTGAAATCAATTTCATGAAGCTTGAGTTCAATTTGAGAAAACTTCAAATCAATTTGAATTTGTAAGTGGTTTGTTTCAAATTATTTTTGAATAGTTAACCAAAACAAGGGTTGAATAGTTAGCAAAAAATTTAAAAATAAACCATTTACAAAATTAAAGCAAGTAATTTAGAGGCGGTACATGCAGGTGGTACTTAGGTGGATGCAACTGGTATTTTAGTATGTTTACCATTTCTTCCAAATTGACCATTCTGTTAACAAAGTTATACATGAGTAAGAAATCTGACACCCGGTAGCCAAATCTTCGCTGGTCGCAAGGTTAAAAAGAGAAAAAAAAGGTTTTATTTGATGGCAAAGGAACTCATTATATTGAGACCTTTCAAATGGAAAGAAAAAAATATGTCAAAATATTTTATTGATCTTTGAAATTATTTTTAAGAACATTCCTTCTGCAATCCACAAATTTTTTGAAAGAGACGACAAAAAAAATTATTTGAGCATCAAAACAAGGTAACAAACGAGAATGGTCGGTTACTGTGCAAGTAGCACAGATTGTTCCTACCATAGTTTTAAAATAACGAAACAAATTTATTCAAATTAGTGTAGTTTACTCTGCGTGGTGTAATAAAAAGATATATCGAAAAAATAGAACTTAGGCATATTCGACAGTCATAGTAATGAAGGCCCACTAGAAAACCTCTTTTATAGAAAAAATATTTTAAAAAACAAAAAAAAATTGTAACAATGGTGCTAAAAAATGCAAAAACTAAATTTAATTGAGTAAAACTTTTTCTCCCGTTTAAAATGAATATAAATATTAGCTCGAGTTTGAACCAAAAATCAAAAATTTTAAATCAATTTTTCTGAGCATTTCGATAATTATTTGTGGTACCTGATTTTGAGTAGAAAACGGAAAGTTGAAAAAACTGAAACACACCAGAAAAAAAGTTCCTCCCCATTTTCAATGATCGGAACAACCAGCAGAAAAATACTGAACACCTAACAAACACCACATCATAATTATGTTCAGTAGCGGATTAAGGGGCCGGCGGGGGGCCCTGCCGACCCAAAGGGTCCCCCTTTGTACTATTTTGAATATCCATTTTTGGCTGACTGACCTTAAAACTTTTCTAAAGGCGCCTTTGGCGCCAACCTATACTAATTTTGAGGAGGGAGCGCGCGCGCCGAAAAAACGCGGTTTTTTGATCGAAATTTTCCCAAAAAGTGCCAGCGGAGCAAAAATATTGGTCCTAAAAAAGGTCGACAAAATTTTTTTTTGAAAATCCGCACCCCCTCGAAAAATTCCTAGATCTGCGCCTGATTATAATCCAGTTTAAAAACTAGATGTACTTACCCCACTGCCAAGCAAGGAGTCATCGAAATGCAAGGAGTCATCGAACGAGGCGGAGGTAGACGTTCTCTTTCGTATATCACCCCAAGATTCCCTCGGGGTTTGATTGTCTAGAAAAAAAAGATATAACTTTAACTTCAACAAAAACACAAACAAGGTACTTTCTTGGAAAAACACTACGAGTGCAATGTCAAATGAACTGTAGAGTTCAGGCTCTTTTAGGACATTTGCGTTCTCTATGTGTTTGCGCTGTTAATGCAAAGTTAACAAACAGTATAGGGAAGATCTGAGCAAGATATTTTCTCGGCAACTCGCGGAATGGGAGAAAACTACGGCATAAACTTAGTCGTCTCACATCATGCTGGTTTGTGATCGCAATTAATTTAATTTTAAATTTTTCGGTGGTGACTCTGTTTCAACAAATCAATCAAAAAAATAATCTCAACGTCAAGAAAAATGTGCTTGAATATATATGATTTTCTTTCTTCCAACGACTAATTCGTTTATTTCTATGGCCACTTTCATTTTTTCAAAGCATCTAATTAACTGTATGTCTACAAATTTACTTGATAAATTAGTCAAAATACGAAGATAATTGTCACCTGAATTTTCTTGGCTACTCGCAGAGCTACCAGCTAGCTAATCGTGTTTTTCCGGCCACTGAAAAGGTGAAAAGAACTTTGTTTCCGTTTTTTTAAGATTTTTTTTTTGTAAAAAGAGGAATAATGAGCTTTTAAATGCTGTCGAAGGGTAAATCAAGATCGAACCCTTACAATTAACAATCGATATCATAAGTTGCAAGTTTGACTGAATTAATTAAAAGAGCAATCTTCCACTTTTGAGCAATTCTTTTCATCAAAATCTGATTTTCTAGACGACATTGAGATATGCTCTTAATCTGAAGATTAATTTTTGCATGCAAACAATTCCTGAAATAGGTCATTTGCTCTTTTTAATTAAATCTGTCTTTTCAAATTTTTTGCAACACTCTATATAACTTTTAACAAAATTAGCGTATGTACTAAATTTCCGAAATAATTCTGACCTTCAAATTTAAAATTGAATCGAAATACTTGTTTCTAGTTTCTCGTTTAACTTTTTGTCGCCATTTTATGTATTATTTTTCTCTGAAAATTTGCATGGCAAATTGTTATTGAACGGAAACGTTTTTTTACTTGTGCGCTTGAATTAGGGCAAAAATTAAATTCTCCGAAAAAGCGCAATTATTTTGCATTGCTCTTTTGTCAGTTCAAAAGCAGTTTTGAAAAATCGGTTGCAGTTTTAACGCCAATTCACTGTCTTAAGGTCAGAATTATTTCAAAAAATTAAGGCGTTGTCCAAAATTTTTTTAAAAAGCTGTAGTGCTGATCTAAATTATCCGGACAAAACGAACAAAACTTAAGCTTTGAAAGACGTTTTTCTCAAATTGCGTTAAAGTTAGACAAAAATTGAAGAGAAGAAAAATTGTTAGAATTTCATCAGAATTAATATGATGCAATTATTTCTCCGAAATTCGCAACCAAAATTTTACCCAAAAGTTGGGTCATTTCGGCTTTTTTCAATTAATCAAGAATAACGCTGAAACTACTTTGTTAATTGATGACAAAAATATATCACAAGAAGCCACTTACACAGCCCAACAAAGTTGTAGAAAGGGTGAATCTCCAAAAACCTGTATAAGAAAAATTTCTTAGCGTGATAGTCAAGAAACGTGATTTTTACGATAGAAAACCAAAAATCTTTGCTTAAAAACAAATTTTAAACAATTTACTCAAATTTTTGGAGATTTAACCCTTCTAGAACTTTGTTGGGCTGTGTAAGAGGCTTCTTGTGATATATATTTCTCATCATATAAGAAAGTAGTTTCAGCGTAATTCTTGATTAATTGAAAAAAGCCAAAATGACCCATTTTTGGGGTAAAATATTGGCTGAGAATTTCGCAGAAAAAATTGCACCATTTTAATTCTGGTGAATTTCTAAGCAACTTTTGTTCTCTTCACTTTTTGTCCAATCTTAACCCAAAATGAGAAAAAGTATTTAAAAATTCAAGTTTGGTTCGTTTTGTCCGGATAATTTAAATCAGCACTGTATACTAAACAGCAAATTACCACACAGTTTTCCAATGTCGAAAAAATTGAAATTAAATAAACAAAAGTTAACGATTTGAAAAAATTTGAAAATTAGCAAAGCAAAAATTACGGCAAAGCAAAAACTATTCATCAAGTTTTGAAAAACGAAATTTTTAACCTGAAAAAACGAACGTTTAAGTGGATTTTTAATTGAGCCAGATGACTGAAAAAGTGTTGTTTTTCCAACCGATTTTGACTACCTTAAAGTAAATTTGTGAAAAGAAAAGTATGTTATCATACTAAAGCCCTATTAGTTGTAATTATTTTGAAAAATCAAAAAAACATGCCTTAAAAATTCAAAAACATGTTTGAATTTATGACTATTCAGACAAACTAAGACCGACCAAAATTGGTCTGATAATTGGTTTTCAGACTACTTCTGATTTTCAAACCAGCTTTATTTTAATTAAAGAGTGATGATTACAAAATTAACAACAAAGAGGGGAAGCAAAGGTTCGAATCATTCTTCGCTTTAAAGGAAAATCAAATTGAAAAGTTTTCCATAACTCAAAAGTTTCCAACAGTTTTTCCTCGAAGCTGGGACAGTTTTTCAATGTCCTCCAAATCACGATCAAAAGGGTTTTATTATGAAATATCATTCGACCCATTGTGACAATTTTTGTAGCACCTGATTTTGCGTGCAAAACGAAATATATATATATATATATATATAAAAACACCCGAAGACAAAAATTCCTTCCCAATTTCAAAGATTGGGGTAAAAATATTTCTTCTTCATATTGGCAGTACAAAAAATTACTCCTACACTTGAACGTAAAACTTTCAAATTCCTTTTTTTCATTGATTTTCAGCATAAGTATCTCTTTACAGCTTTTTACGGACTTTGGGGGTAGATACTTCTCGCGCTCCAGACAATCTATCTCAACTCAAAAAACGCCCTTTGGGTAATTTTTCGAAACAGATTTTGGCTGACCGAACTTAGACGCCAATATAGTTAATTAACAGTATGATGGGTTGCACTGAAAAATACAGAGAAAAACTTATTCAATCGCACATTATGCAAGAAGTCTATAAAAAGAAGCTTTGACACATGGGCGAAAGTTGCACTTCGCATACATCAGCAAAACCTACTGGATTACTCATTGAAGCTAATTTTCAAAAAAATCAAAGTTTTTAGACTATGGATCCACCATATTGTGCATTCTTATTGGGGGGGGGGGGGGGGGGGGCACACGCGGTCTTTTCGGTTCTTCTTTTATTTTCTTTGATCGTTCCGACAAAATTTTAACATGTTTACAGACTTGTCGCTGGAATCCAGGAACATACAGACACAAAATTGTGCGCCTATCCAGTGCACAGCACAGTTTGGCCTCGTAATGCCCCTAAACGATGAAAAATTTAAATAAAAATTTTTATTACAGAATTGGACTGATTTTTTTTTACCACTGCAGGATACAGTATTATCGCAAACTGTAATCATGCTAAAAAATGCAAAAATTGCAAGATAAACAGCAAAAAAACGCATTTTGGCATCCTTTTTATGAAATTTATGCTCAGAAAACGGCAAATACAAAGTAATACTTCCTTTTGACAAAGTCCAATATTCTTATCTTGCATTTCCTAGTAATACATCGATCCAAGATTGTTAATAAAAGATTTCAAATTCATTTCTCATCATTTAGGGGGGGGGGGGTTTGTTGGATAACCGAAAAGACCCGACAAAATTCCGCATTTAAACATTCTCAAAGTTAGATTTCGAAAAATTGAGTTTATTATTTGAAATTTTTGCTTCGTTTGACTTAATGTTCCCACTTTACCTTCGAAGTCAAAAGTTGAATCCTCATCCGAATCTGAGTCGAAACCGTTTATATCGATTGTTTCCGTCGGTTCTGATACGCTTGAACAAGTTGAAGTTCTTCGAGGTCTTGAAAGCCTTTTGATACCTCTTCTGCCCTTTTTCGGCTGAGAAATGTCTTTTTCGAGACTACTTTTGGCATCATTAGAATAACTGCAATGAGGTTTTTCTTCTGAATTTGATAACTCAACACTCATTTTTAAGCAACAAAAACTAAGATTTTCATTTCAAACGAGCAAAAAAGAGACAAACTGGTTTCTAAATGTAGCAGAGTGCAGTTAAATACAAAGTAAATTACATAGAAAACAAAAATGAATGCGCAAAGAACGGTTACGCCGACTGTATTTTCAATTTAAAAAAAATCATAAGGTTAAAAATAGTAGCAATAAAACATCTCATCGAATGACGCAATGAATCGGCTAGCTTTGAAAGCGCATGATGTGAATGATGTAGACTGTAGTTGATAAAATGACAAACTTGGCAAGATTAAGACTGCTCGTGTACACAAACCAATAACAAAAACGAACTAGAAAGCAACTAAAACAAGAAGGTACAATAACGACTATATTAAGTAATATGTACCAACAGAATTCATTTAGTAACTGCGTAACAAAAACAGGACAACATTTTCAGGTAATAATGTTTTCAACAAGTAATCTATTTAAAGAATTTATTGCACAACTCCCATTTTAGGCAAAAACCCTCAAGTTTGCTTCCTATTTTAAGAAAAAGTAATTAATATTTAATGAACCACTGGATCAAAATACAACCAATCTGCTAAAAATAACAAAACCTCGACCTTTAAATGGATGGATTGGTTATATTCTGCGCTTGCTATCCTTAAAGTACCAAATTATTATAAGTACCAATATATTTATACTTGGAAAAAATAATTTAGTACATTCCATTTTTAATTAACCTTTCATATATATATATATTGAACACATTGGCTAAATGCTATGAAAGCACCCTTTCAGGGTTGCGATTCTTGTCAGAAAAAATGACCCTCTAAATCCTTCTAGTTTTCGAGATATCGTCTTTTTTCATTTTTTTTTGAATTTTTTTAACTTAGAATTTTTTTGAAAAAGAAAAACCATTTTTTTCCTTAAAACTGGCGTTAAAATATATAAGAATAGTAATTGCGCGAAATCAGTGTGAAAACTAAACAATATTTGGTAATAAATTTGAGAATTAATTTGGTATAATTATTTTAACAAATAATTTTTTTAACGTTTTTTTTATCTTATTTTATTGAAATTTGTCACCAAGTTGTTTTAGGGTAAACTCTCGATAAGTACGTATTGTACTTTTAGTCTATCCACTCCATTCTGGTTTTTGTACAACAATTAATTTCCTAATATACTTAAAAATTACTGTTGTATCTGCTTATAATATTATGGCGAAATTAATTTTTTATTTCTTTCTTTTTTTTCTTCCTTTCTTTATTAGACACAAAAGCGAAAAGGAGCTTCGCGCCACTTGCGATACAACACAATCATAATGAAAAGCATAAGAAGAAAAAAATGAAAAATTTTGAAACAAAACTCGTTGGATCAAAATTTTCGTATGTCTCGATGAAAGACACAGGAGGTACATGTTTGATATTTTCTGAATTTGTTATACTGATGCGGGACAAAATGCATACAGTCAAAAGTTAGATTTTGCCCAAAACCTGAAGTTGTTTCTCTAACAAAATAAGTGAGAAGAAAGTTTTTGAGATTTTTAAATTTTTCCAAAAACATCACTATTCTCTTACAACAAATTAAGGTGTAGCCGCTTATGCAGGGAAAACTCGCGCAACCGCATCTTTCGATTAAAATTTTCATCTCAAATTTGATAGAATAGCTTTAAGATTTCAAAAAAGTTTCTAAAAAACGATCAAAGCTCAAAAATTTTCCAAAACCCGTAACTATTTCTTCTATAAGCAGGTCGTGCCCGGAAAAAGGAGAAGATTCCCAAAACCGGGTTTCTCGATTGAAAACGTAGTCTGAGAATTGGCACGGAAGTTTTCGAGAAGAGTAGAAAAATTTCAAAACTTCCACTTGCTTGAAAGGCATATTTTTTGTTTTAAGAAACTGGGCGTAGCATATTGTTAAGGTGAACTTTCAACAAGCTGTTTTGTCGATTAAACCTAAAGTATCAAATTAGCAGGATAGGTATCGAGAAAATACCAAAAAACAGTTAACAAATCAGAGAATTGACCTTTCTAAAAATCATAGTTTTTGGCATTGAAAAAAGTTTGGGAGTAGCCGCTTAAGCAGCTAAAATATACCCCACTTGTAGTTTCGATTGAACCCAAAAACTTAGAATTGGCAGAGTAGTTCTCGAGAAATGTCAAAATGTTTCAAAAATGGTAAAAAGAATTAACTTTTCCGAGGAGCATCAAAAAAACTTGGACGTAGTTGCGTATGCAAAGGAGCTTCCCACTATCCATTCGGTAAATTGAAAGCAAAACCTTAGATATTGGAGGTATTTTTTGGTGAACTTCATAAGACTTAGAAAAACAGTACGCTCAAAAACTCAAAAATTGATTTTTGTGAGGACGATAACTCTTTGTGTAGAAAAATGTGAGTAGTCACTAACGCACTAGCGTAAGGTAAATTCCCTTTCTCCGTTATCTAGATTAAATCCACCACCTAAGATTTGGGAGATTAGTTTTCGAGAAAAGCTGAGAAAGATTCAAAATATTGTCAAAAAATGACTAATCAGAGGGCCATAATTTTTCGGGTAAGAAAAATTGGTTGTAGCTTTTAATGGAGGAAGTTTTTCAATTTCGCTCTTTTCATTGAACCCAAAGACTTAGGTTAGTTTTTGAGAAAATAAAAAAAACTAAAGTATTGGTCAAATTCCCCCCAGATAGTTTTTCGAAGGCTATAGAGAAAAGGGTAAAGCAAAAAGAGACACGGAGAGTACACAGACCCACAAAAATAACAGCTATTTGGCTTGGGATACCCCTTTTTTGAAAATCGGTACCAGATTTTTTGAGAAAAAAAAGTTTTTTTTTTGGCAAAACTGATAAATTTTTCCAGAGCAACTCAACAAAAGTTAAAAGAAAAACCCGACCCCATACACCTTCAAAATACCTTTCTTTTTTCAAACAGAAATGAAAAGCAAACATGCCAAGCAGGACACTTGAAACTCGAATTATCAACTGAACAAAATTACCAAGCGAAAACATGACCGGCAATTTTTGAGCAGACACCAGTTGAGCAGAAAAAACTCTTAAACATTTCAATTCCACCCTGAAACTACACTGTAGTAATTAGTACCAACCAAAAAATTTCAAATGAAATTGCCTTAAATTGAGCATGTCAGCTGCATAGTGGTTCAACAGATTTTGTTGAACTAGTTGTCAACCCGAAAAAAGTTTTCACCCCGATTTGGTGACGCTTGCTTATCGCGAGCGTAATTACCCGAGAAATTACGACAGTCTAAGATCAGCGAAGGGGCGAAACGAAAAAAAAACAGAGCTCCGCCTCTCAGTCGAAAAACTGGCGGTTCGAGGCCCGCTATCATTCGTGCGGAAGAAGTAATAACTCACAGCCCAAAAAAGAAAAAACTCGCATGTATTTTTTAATCAGGGGCATAACAGTGGTTTGCCGCTAAGTCTACATTCCGATTTGGTAAGGCTTGCTTATCGCAAGCGTAATTACCCAAAAAATTAGGAAAGTCTAAGGATAAGTGAAGGAACGAAAGGAAAAAAGCGCAGAACTCCGCCTCTCAGTCAAAAAACTGGCGGTTTGAGGCCCGCTATCATTCGTGCGGAAGAGGTAATGACTCACAGCCCAGAAAATAAAACAAAAAAATTGCATGTATTATTCGATCAGGGGCATAACAGTGGTTTGCCGTTAAATCTACATTCCGATTTGGTAACGCTTGCTTATCGCAATCGTAATTACCCAAAAATTTAGGACGGTCTAAGGATAAGCGAAGGGACAAAAAGAAAAAGCGCAGAACTCCACCTCTCAGTCGAAAAACTGGCGGTTCGAGGCCCGCTATCATTCGTGCGGAAGAGGTAATAATTCACAGCCCAGAAATTATAACAAAAAAATTCGCATGTTTTTTTTGATCAGGGGCATAACAGTGGTTTGCCGTTAAATCTACATTCCGATTTGGTAATGCTTGCTTATCGCAAGCGTAATTACCCAAAAAGTTAGGACGGTCTAAAGATAAGCGAGGGAACGAAAGGAAAAAAGCGCAGAACTCCGCCTCTCAGTCAAAAAACTGGCGGTTCGAGGCCCACTATCATTCCTGCGGAAGGGGTAATGACTCACAGCCCAGAAAATGAAACAAAAAACTCGCATGTATTATTTGATCAGGGGCATAACAGTGGTTTGCCGTTAAATCTACCTTCCGATTTGGTAACGCTTGCTTATCGCAATCGCAAGCGTAATTACCCAAAAAAATAGGACGGTCTAAGGATAAGCGAAGGGACAAAAGGAAAAAAGCGCAGAACTTCACCTCTCAGTCGAAAAACTGGCGGTTCGAGGCCCGCTATCATTCGTGCGGAAGAGGTAATAACTCGCAGCCCAGAAAATAAAACAAAAAAGTTGCATGTTTGTTTTGATTAGGGGCATAACAGTGGGTTGCCGTTAAACCTACATTCTGATTTGGTAACGCTTGCTTATCGCAAGCGTAATTACCCAAAAAATTAGTACGGTCTAAGGATAAGCGAAGGGACAAAAGGAAAAAAGCGCAGAACTCCGCCTCTCAGTCGAAAAACTGGCGGTTCGAGGCCCGCTATCATTCGTGCGGAAAAGGTAATAACTCACAGCCCAGAAAATAAAACAAAAAATTTGCATGTATTCTTTGATGAGGGGCATAACAGTGGTTTGCCGTTAAATCTACATACCGATTTGGTAACGCTTGCTTATCGCAATCGTAATTACCCAAAAAATTAGGACGGTCTAAGGATAAGCGAAGGGACAAAAAGAAAAAAGCGCAGAACTCCGCCTCTCAGTCGAAAAACTGGCGGTTCGAGGCCCGCTATCATTCGTGCGGAAGAGGTAATAACTCACATCCCCGAAAATAAAACAAAAAACTCGCATGTACTTTTTGTACAGGGGCATAACAGTGGTTTGCCGTTAAATCTACATTCTGATTTGGTAACGCTTGCTTATCGCAAGCCTAATTACCCAAAAAATTTGGGCGGTCTAAGGATAAGCGAAGGAACGAAAGGAAAAAAGCGCAGAACTCCGCCTCGCAGTCGAAAAACTGGCGGTTCTGGGCCCGCTATCATTCGTGCGGAAGAGGTAATAACTCACAGCCCAAAAAACAAAACAAAAAACTGGCTTGTATTTTGTGATCAGGGGCATAACAATGGTTTGCCGTTAAATCTACATTCCGATTTGGTAACGCTTGCTTATCGCAATCGCAAGCGTAATTACCCAAAAAATTAGGACAGTCTAAGGATAAGCGAAGGGACAAAAGGAAAAAAGCGCAGAACTTCGCTTCTCAGTAAAAAAAAAACTGGCGGTTCGAGGCCCGCTATCATTCATGCGGAAGAGGTAATAATTCA